AGGCGCCCCCTCCCAGGAACCCTAAAGCTTTTGGTCGTGGTGACGTATATATTGCATACGTCCAGCAATCCCTTACTGAACTGTGATTGGTGGAATAAAATGTAAGCCCACCAAATAACAGCCAATAGGAGAGAAGAACAGTCAGTCAGCACAACACCCTAATTTATGTTTTCCTGTTGGATATTTATTCTCCTTTACATTGTTTTTCTTGCGATGATACTGGAAATGCAATGGGCCGTGTATCTATTCATATATCCCATTGTTCTAAATGTGCATGAACAGCTGCCCCCAGGGTCCGTACAGTGACAGTCCTCCCTGGGGCCTTCCCATTTGCCCTACCATCTGCGACGGCTTTAGTGGCTTTTCCAGGGGTGTTGGCGCTCCTAGGGGACTTACAAGGGGCCCTGTCAGGGGCTGTGGTTCCCCCAGTGGCCTTATCAATGATGATAGCGCCGTCACAGACCCTCCCAGAGGCGGTTGCGTCCCAAGGGACCCTCCTAAGGGCTACCTCGCCGCCAAGGCTATCCCAGGGGCGACGGAGCCCTCTGAGGCTCTCCCAGGGGAAACTGTGTCTGCAGGAGCCCACTTAGGGAGGACGGCACCCCCAGGGAATTTCCAGAGGTAGCGGCGCTCCCAGGGCACCACCCAGGGGTAACGGTGCCCCCAGGTGCCATCCCAAGGATGGTGGCGTACTTAGGGACTCTCCCAGGGGAGGTGGCGCCCACAGGGGCCCTCCCAGCTGCAGCGGCGTCCTCAGTGGACCTCTCAGGACTGGTTACACCCAGAGAAGCCTGTCAAGGGGTAACGACGCCCCCAGGGGCTGATTGTATGGGCAGCAGCGCCCCCCGGGTCTCTCCTTAGACGCAGCAATGCCCCAGGGGCCCTAACAGAGGCGCCCCCTCCCAGGAACCCTATAGCTTTTGGTCGTGGTGACGTATATATTGCATACGTCCAGCAATCCCTTACTGAACTGTGATTGGTGGAATAAAATGTAAGCCCACCAAATAACAGCCAATAGGAGAAAAGAACAGTCAGTCAGCACAACACCCTAATTTATGTTTTCCTGTTGGATATTTATTCTCCTTTACATTGTTTTTCATGCGATGATACTGGAAATGCAATGGGCGGTGTATCTATTCATATATCCCATTGTTCTAAATGAGCATGAACAGCTGCCTTCAGGGTCCCTAAAGTGACAGTTCCCCCTGGGGCCTTCCCATTTGCCCTACCATATGCGACGGCTTCAGGGGCTCTCCGAGGGGAGTTGGTGCTCCCAGGGTACTTACAAGGGGCCCTGTCAGGGGCTGTGGTTCCCCCAGTGGCCCTACCAAGGATGGTGGCGCCGTCACAGACCCTCTCAGAGGCGGTTGCTCCCCAAAGGACCCTCCTAAGGGCTACCTCGCCCCCAAACTCTATCCCAGAGGCGAGGGAGCCCTCTGGGGCCCTCCCTGGGGAAACTGCGCCCCCAGGAGCCCACTTCGGGGCGACGGCGCCCCCAGGGGAATTCCCAGAGGTAGCGGCGCTCCCAGGGCACCACCCAGGAGTATCGGTGCCCCCAAGGGCTAACCCAAGGATGGTGGCGTATTAGGGGCTCTCCCAGGGAAGGTGGCACCCACAGAGGCCCTCCCAGCTGCAGCGGCATCCTCAGTGGACCTCTCAGGACTGGTTACACCCAGAGAAGCCTGTCAAGAGGTAACGACGCCCCCAGGGGCTGATTAGCAAAGACTGGGCAGGCACCTTAGCTGCAATGCCCCTAGCTCAAACAGAGGCGCCTCCCAGAACCCTATAGCTTTTGGTCGTGGTGATGCACATATTGCATACGTCCAGCAATCCCTTACTGAACTGTGATTGGTGGAATATAATGTAAAGCCCACCAAAAACAGCCAATAGGAGAGAAGAACAGTCAGTCAGCACAACACTTAATTTATGTTTTCCTGTTGGATATTTATTCTCCTTACATTGTTTTTCTTAAGGATGATACTGGAAATGCATGGGCTGTGCATTCATTCATATATCCCATTGTTCTAAATGAGCATGAACAGCTGCCCCCTAGAGGGTCCCTGCAGTGACAAGTTCTGACCTGGGGCTTCCCATTTGCCCTACCACATGCGACGGCTTGAGGGCTCTCCCAGGGGTGCAGACGCTGCCAGGGGAACTGCAAGGGCCCTGTCAGAAATTCTGGTGCCCCAGGTCTCTACCAAGGACATAAGTGCCCCCACAGACCCCTCCCAGAGGGGGCGGCTGCGCCCCGGGACCCTCCCTAAGGCCCCCCCTGGTTCCCAAGGCTATCCCTAGGGCGACAGAGTCTGCCGTGGCCTCCCAAGAGAAACTGCACCTCAGAGACCACTTAGGGCGATGGCGTCTCCCCCAGGAATTCCGAGAGGTAGCGCTCCCAGGTACCCCTCTGGTGCACGGGTACCCCCAGGCCCTCCCAAGGATGGTGGTGTACTTAGGAGTTTCTCCCCAGGGTTGTAAGGATTTTACAGGCCTCTTTCTAGCGCTACAGCGGCACCTCAGTGGATCTCTGTACCGGTTGGCTAATTCCTGATAGGCCCGTCAAGGGTCAACGACGCCCCCAAGGGCTCTTTATTTGGCAGCAGCACCTAGGGCTCTCCATATGCAGCGATGCGCCCTCTCCCAGGAACCCTATAGCTTTTGGGCGTGGTGTTGTACATATTGCATAATGTCCATAACTTCATTTAACCGTGATTGGTGGGAAATAAAAAACAAACCCACCAACAACAGCCAATAGGAGAGAAGAACAGCCAGTCAAAGCACAACACTTTCTAATTTATGTTTTCCTAAGTTGATATTTATTCTCCTTACATTGTTTTCATGAAGGATACTCGGAATGCAATGGGCGGTGTATCTATTCATATATCCCATTGTTCCTAAATGTGCATGAACAGCTGCCCCAGGGTCCCTTGCATAGTGACAGTTCACTCCTGGGGCCTTCCCATTTGCCTCCTACTACATGCGACGGCTTCAGGGCTCTCCAGGGTGTAGAGACGCTCCCAGGACCCACAAGGCCCTGTCAGAACTCTGGTGCCCCAGTGGCCCTACTCAAGGATGATGGTGCTCCCACAGACCTCCCAGAGGCCGTTGCCCCCAGGACTCCCTCCTAAGGGCAACCTTTGGCTCCAAAGACTATCCCAGGGGCGACAGATTAAGGGGGCCCTCCCAAGAGAAACTGCCCTCAGGAGCCCACTTAGGGGCGACGGCGCCCCTGAAATTCCCAGAGGCAGCGAAGCTCCCAGGACCACCCAGGGCATGGTGACTTCCAGGCCCTCCCAGTTGATGCAGTGAAAATTATGGCTCTCCAGGGTAGGTGGCATTACAGGGTGCCCCAGCTGCAGCGGCATCCTCAGTGGACCTCTCAGGACCGGGTTACACCCTGAGAGCTCTGTCAAGGGGCAATGACGGCCCCCAGGGCTCTTTGTGCGGGGCAGCATGGCCCCAGGGTCTCTTTTTAGAGCAGCGGATGCCCACGGGCCTCCTAGGCCCTAACAGAGGTGCCCTTCCCAGAACCCCTATAGCTTGGCTGTGGTGACGCATATATTGCATACGCCTAGCAATCCCTTACTTAATCGGGGTGATTGGTGGAATAAATGTAAGCCCACCAAATAAATAAGCTTTCACAGGGAGAGAAGAACAGCCGGCCAAAGCACAACACCCTAATTTATGTTTTCTGTTGGATATTTATTCTCCTTTATATTGTTTTTCTTGTGTTGATACTGAAATGTAAATATGGTGTATCTATTCATATATCCCCATTGCCCTAAATGTGCATGAACAGCTGCCTTGGGTCCGTACAGATAGCTCCACCTGGGGCCTCTTCCATTTGGTTCTACCATCTGCGATTTGCTTTAGGCTTTTCTCCAGGGTGTTAAGGCCCCAGGGACTTATAAGGGCCCCTGTCAGTCAGGTTCCTCCAGTGGTTTTGGTATCAATGATGGTAGCGCCGTCACAGACCCTCCCCAGAGGCGTTTGTGCCTCTATGTCTTCCTAAGGACGACCTTGCTGCCAAGGCTATCCTAGGGACGACGGAGCCCTGGAGGCTCTCCCAGGGGAAAACTGTGTCTGCAGGAGCTCACTTAGGGGACGGCACCCCAGGGTATTTCCGAAAAGGTAGCGGCAGCCTCAGGGCACTACCCAGGGTAACGGTACTTAGCCCTCCCCAATGATGGTGGCGTACTTAGCTCTCCCAGGGGAGGTGAAGAGTTTCACAGGGGCCCTCCCCAGCTGCAGCGGTTCCCCAGGACTCCCCAGGACTGGTTACACCCAGAGAAGCCTGTCAAGAGGTAACGACACACCCCCAGGGGCTGATTGAAGGCAGCAGCGCCCCAGGCCTCCCTAAGCAGCAATGCCCCAGGGGCCCTAATAGAGGCGCCCTCCCAGGAACCCCAAAGCTTTTGGTCGTGGTGACATATATATTGCATACGTCCAGCACCTTTGATTGAACTGTGATTGGTGAATAAATGTGTTTTCCACCAAATAACAGCTAATAGAGAGAAGAACAGCCAGTCAAAGCATAACACCTTTAATTTATGTTTCCTGTTGGATATTTATTCTCTCTTACATTGTTTTTCATGCGATGGTTGCTCGAAAATGCAATGTACATGTATTCATTCATATATCCCATTTTCTAAATGTGCATGAACAGCTGCCCCCAGGGTCCGTAGACAGACAGTCCTCCCTGGGGCCTTCCCATTTGCCCTACCATCTGCGACGGCTTGAAAGTGGCTTCTTTTCCAGGGTGTTGGCGCCCTAGGACTTGCTATAAGGGCTCCCTATTAGCTGTGGTTCCCCCAGTGGTCTTATCAATGATGATAGCGCCGTCACAGACTCCCAGAGGCGGTTGGTGTCTCAAGGATTCTCCTAAGGCTACTCGGCTGCCAAGGCTATCCTGTGGGGCGACGGAGCCCTGAGGCTCTCCTCCTAGGGAAACTGTGGGTCTGCAGGAGCCCACTTAGGGTAACGGCCCAGGTGCCATCCCAAGGATGGTGGCGTACTTAGGACTCTCCCAGGAGGTGGCACCCCAGGCCCTCCCAGCTGCAGCGCGTCCTCAGTGGACCTCTCAGGACTGGTTACACCCAGAGAAGCCTGTCAAGGTAACGACGGCCCCCAGGGGCTGATTAAGGGCAGCAGCGCCCCGGGTCTCTAGACGCAGCAATGCCCCAGGGGCCCAACAGAGGCGCCTCCCAGGAACCCTATAGCTGGTCGTGGTGACGTACATATTGCATACGTCCAGCAATCTCTTACTTAACCGTGATTGGTGGAATAAAATGTAAGTCCACCAAATAGCAGCCAATAGGAGAGAAGAACAGTCAGTCTGCACAACACCGCAATTTATGTTTTCCTGCTGGATATATATTCTCCTTTACATTGTTTTTCATGCGATGATACTGGAAATGCAATGGGCGGTGTAACTATTCTTATATCCCATTGTACTAAATGTGCGTGAACAGCTGCCCCCAGGGTCCCTACAGTGACAGTTCACCCTGGGGCCTTCCCATTTGCCCTACCATATCCGACGGCTTCAGGGGCTATCCCAGGGGTGTAGATGCTCCCAGGGGACCTACAAGGGGCCCTGTCAGGGGCTGTGGTGCCCCCAGTGGCCCTACCAATGATTGTGGCGCCGTCACAGGCGCTCCCAGAGGCGGTTGCGCCCCCAGGGACCCTCCTAAGGGCGACGTCGCCTTCAAAGGCTGTCCCAGGGGCGATGGAGCCCTCCGGGGCCCTCCCAGGGGAAACTGCACCCTCAGTAGCCCACTTAGGGGCGACGGCGCTCCCAGGGGAATTCCCAGAGGCAGCGGCGCTCCCAGGGGACCACTCAGGGGTAATGGTGCCCCCAGGGGCCCTCCCAAGGATGGTGGCATACTTAGTGGCTCTCCGAGGGGAGGTGGCGCCCACAGGGGTCCTCCCAGCTGCAGCGGCATCCTCAGTGGGCCTCTCAGGACTGGTTACACCCTGAGAGGCCTGTCAAAGGGTAACGACGCCCCCAGGGGCTCTTTGTATGAGCAGCAGCGCCCCCAGGGGCTCTCTTTAGGAGCAGCGATGCCCCAGGGGCCCTCCCAGGGGCCCTAACAGACGTGCCCTTTCCCATGAACCCTATAGCTTTTGGTCGTGGTGTCGTACATATTGCATACGTCCAGAAATCCCTTACTTAACTGTGATTGGTGGAATAAAATGTAAACCCACCAAATAACAGCCAATAGGAGAGAAGAACAGTCAGTCAGCACAACACCCTAATTTATGTTTTCCTGTTGGATATTTATTCTCCTTTACATTGTTTTTCATGCGATGATACTGGAAATGCAATGGGCGGTGTATCTATTCATATATCCCATTGTTCTAAATGTGCATGAACAGCTGCCCCCAGGGTCCCTACAGTGACAGTTCTACCTGGGGCCTTCCCATTTGCCCTACCATCTGCGACGGCTTTAGTGGCTTTTCCAGGGGTGTTGGCGCTCCCAGGGGACTTACAAGGGGCCCTGTCAGGGGCTGTGGTTCCCACAGTGGCCTTACCAATGATGGTGGCGCCGTCACAGACCCTCTCAGAGGCGGTTGCGCCCCAAGGGACCCTCCTAAGGGCGACCTCGCCGCCAAGGCTATCCCAGGGGCGACGGAGCCCTCTGAAGCTCTCCCAGGGGAAACTGTGTCTGTAGGAGCCCACTTAGGGGGGACGGCACCCCCAGGGAATTTCCAGAGGTAGCAGCGCTCCCAGGGGACCACCCAGGGGTAACGGTGCCCCCAGGGGCCCTCCCAAGGATGGTGGCGTACTTAGGGGCTCTCCCAGGGGAGGTGGCGCCCACAGGGGCCCTCCCAGCTGCAGCGGCATCCTCAGTGGACCTCTCAGGACTGGTTACACCCAGAGAAGCCTGTCAAGGGGTAACGACGCCCCCAGTGGCTGATTGTATGGGCAGCAGCGCCCTCAGGGGCTGATTGTATGGGCAGCAGCGCCCCCAGGGGCTCTCCTTAGACGCAGCAATGTCCCAGGGGCCCTAACAGAGGCGCCCCCTCCCAGGAACCCTATAGCTTTTGGTCGTGGTGACGTACATATTGCATACGTCCAGCAATCCCTTACTTAACTGTGATTGGTGGAATAAAATGTAAGCCCACCAAATAACAGCCAATAGGAGAGAAGAACAGTCAGTCAGCACAACACCCTAATTTATGTTTTCCTGTTGGATATTTATTCTCCTTTACATTGTTTTTCTTGCGATGATACTGGAAATGCAATGGGCGGTGTATCTATTCATATATCCCATTGTTCTAAATGAGCATGAACAGCTGCCCCCAGGGTCCCTGCAGTGACAGTTCTACCTGGGGCCTTCCCATTTGCCCTACCATATGCGACGGCTTGAGGGGCTCTCCCAAGGGTGTAGACGCTGCCAGGGGACCTGCAAGGGGCCCTGTCAGAACTTCTGGTGCCCCAGTGGCCCTACAGTGACAGTTCTACCTGGGGCCTTCCCATTTGCCCTACCATATGCGACGGCTTTAGTGGCTTTTCCAGGGTTGTTGGCGCTCCCAGGGGACTTACAAGGGGCCCTGTCAGGGGCTGTGGTTCCCCCAGTGGCCTTACCAATGATGGTGGTGCCGTCACAGACCCTCCCAGAGGCGGTTGCGCCCCAAGGGACCCTCCTAAGGGCGACCTCGCCGCCAAGGCTATCCCAGGGGCGACGGAGCCCTCTGAGGCTCTCCCAGGGGAATCTGTGTCTGCAGGAGCCCACTTAGGGGGGACGGCACCCCAAGGGAATTTCCAGAGGTAGCGGCGCTCCCAGGGCACCACCCAGGGGTAACGGTGCCCCCAGGGGGCCTCCCAGGGATGGTGGCGTCCTTAGTGGCTCTCCGAGGGGAGGTGGCGCCCACAGGGCACCTCCCAGCTGCAGCGGCATCCTCAGTGGACCTATCAGGACTGGTTACACCCTGAGAGGCCTGTCAAGGGGTAACGACGCCCCCAGGGGCTCTTTGTATGGGCAGCAGCGCCCCCAGGGGCCCTACCAGAGGCGCCCCCTCCCAGGAACCCTATAGCTTTTGGTCGTGGTGACGTACATATTGCATACACGCCTAGTGTCTTACCTAACTGTGATTGGTGGAATAAAATGTAAACCCACCCAAATAGTCAGCCAATAGGAGAGAAGCATCAGTCAGTCAAAATGACAATGACTCCTAATTTATGTTTTCCAAGGATATTTATTTCCTTACATTGTTTTTCTGCTATTATTACTGGGAAAATGTATGGGTGTATCTGTCTGTTGTCCCATTGTTCTAAAATGAGCATGAACAGCTGCCCCCAGGGTCCCTACAGTGACAGTTCTACCTGGGGCCTTCCCATTTGCCCTACCATATGCGACGGCTTGAGGGGCTCTCCCAGGGGTGTAGACGCTGCCAGGGGAACTGCAAGGGGCCCTGTCAGAACTTCTGGTGCCCCCAGTGGCCCTACCAAGGATGATGGCGCCCCCACAGACCCTCCCAGAGGCGGTTGCGCCCCCGGGACCCTCCTAAGGGCACTTTTGGTTCCCAAGGCTATCCCAGGGGCGACAGAGCCCTGCGGGGCCCTCCCAAGAGAAACTGCACCCTCAGGAGACCACTTAGGGGCGATGGCGCCCCCAGGGGAATTCCCAGAGGTAGCGGCGCTCCCAGGGTACCCCTCTGGTGCAATGGTGCTCCCAGGGGCCCTCCCAAGGATGGTGGTGTACTTAGGAGCTCTCCCAGGGGTTGTGGCGCCCACAGGGGCCCTTCTAGCTGCAGCGGCGTCCTCAGTGGACCTCTCAGGACTGGTTACACCCTGATACGCCTGTCAAGGGTCAACGACGCCCCCAAGGGCTCTTTGTATTTGCAGCAGCGCCCCCAGGGGCTCTCCATAAGTGCAGCGATGCGCCCTCTCCCAGGAACCCTATAGCTTTTGGGCGTGGTGTTGTACATATTGCATACGTCCAGCAATCTCTTACTTAACCGTGATTGGTGGAATAAAATGTAAACCCACCAAATAACAGCCAATAGGAGAGAAGAACAGTCAGTCAGCACAACACCCTAATTTATGTTTTCCTGTTGGATATTTATTCTCCTTTACATTGTTTTTCATGCGATGATACTGGAAATGCAATGGGCGGTGTATCTATTCTTATATCCCATTGTACTAAATGTGCGTGAACAGCTGCCCCCAGGTTCCCTACAGTGACAGTTCACCCTGGGGCCTTCCCATTTGCCCTACCATATGCGACGGCTTCAGGGGCTCTCCCAGGGGTGTAGACGCTCCCAGGGGACCTACAAGGGGCCCTGTCAGAACTTCTGGTGCCCCCAGTGGCCCTACCAAGGATGATGGTGCCCCCACAGACCCTCCCAGAGGCCGTTGCCCCCCCAGGGACCCTCCTAAGGGCAACCTTGGCTCCAAAGGCTATCCCAGGGGCGACAGAGCCCTGCGGGGCCCTCCCAAGAGAAACTGCTCCCTCAGGAGCTCACTTAGGGGTGACGGCGCTTCCCGGGAAATTCCCAGAGGCAGCGGAGCTCCCAGGGGACCACCCAGGGGTAATGGTGCCCCCAGGGGCCCTCCCAAGGATGGTGGCGTACTTAGTGGCTCTCCCAGGGGAGGTGGCGCCCACAGGGGTCCTCCCAGCTGCAGCGGCATCCTCAGTGGACCTCTCAGGACTGGTTACACCCTGAGAGGCCTGTCAAGGGGTAACGACGCCCCCAGGGGCTCTTTGTATGGGCAGCAGCGGCCCCAGGGTCTCTCTTTAGGAGCAGCGATGCCCCACGGGCCCTCCCAGGGGCCCTAACAGAGGTGCCCTTTCCCAGGAAGCCTATAGCTTTTGGTCCTGGTGTCGTACATATTGCATACGTCTAGCAATCCCTTACTTAACTGTGATTGGTGGAATAAAATGTAAGCCCACCAAATAACAGCCAATAGGAGAGAAGAACAGTCAGTCAGCACAACACCCTAATTTATGTTTTCCTGTTGGATATTTTTTCTCCTTTACATTGTTTTTCATGCGATGATACTGGAAATGTAATGGGCGGTGTATCTATTCATATATCCCATTGTTCTAAATGAGCATGAACAGCTGCCCCCAGGGTCCCTACAGTGACAGTTCTACCTGGGGCCTTCCCATTTGCCCTACCATCTGCGACGGCTTTAGTGGCTTTTCCAGGGGTGTTGGCGCTCCCAGGGGACTTACAAGGGGCCCTGTCAAGGGCTGTGGTTCCCCCAGTGGCCTTACCAATGATGGTAGCGCCGTCACAGACCCTCCCAGAGGCGGTTGCGCCCCAAGGGACCCTCCTAAGGGCGACCTCGCCGCCAAGGCTATCCCAGGGGCGACGGAGCCCTCTGAGGCTCTCCCAGGGGAAACTGTGTCTGCAGGAGCCCACTTAGGGAGGACGGCACCCCCAGGGAATTTCCAGAGGTAGCGGCGCTCCCAGGGCACCACCCAGGGGTAACAGTGCCCCCAGGGGCCATCCCAAGGATGGTGGCGTACTTAGGGGCTCTCCCAGGGGAGGTGGCGCCCACAGGGGCCCTCCCAGCTGCAGCGGCGTCCTCAGTGGACCTCTCAGGACTGGTTACACCCAGAGAAGCCTGTCAAGGGGTAACGACGCCTCCAGGGGCTGATTGTATGGGCAGCAGCGCCCCCAGGGGCTCTCCTTAGACGCAGCAATGCCCCAGGGGCCCTAACAGAGGCGCCCCCTCCCAGGAACCCTATAGCTTTTGGTCGTGGTGACGTATATATTGCATACGCCCAGCAATCCCTTACTGAACTGTGATTGGTGGAATAAAATGTAAGCCCACCAAATAACAGCCAATAGGAGAGAAGAACAGTCAGTCAGCACAACACCCTAATTTATGTTTTCCTGTTGGATATTTTTTGTCCTTTACATTGTTTTTCATGCGATGATACTGGAAATGTAATGGGCGGTGTATCTATTCATATATCCCATTGTTCTCAATGAGCATGAACAGCTGCCCCAAGGGTCCCTAAAGTGACAGTTCCCCCTGGGGCCTTCCCATTTGCCCTACCATATGCGACGGCTTAAGGGGCTCTCCGAGGGTGTGATGCGGGCCTGGCTGCAAGAGTTGGATTCTCCGGGGCCTT